GAGGTACCCGACCCCAAATTCCCGAATTATCCCGGAATTCCCGGGAAAAACGGGAGGGGATTCTTTGGAATTGAGGAAATCCTAAAAAAACGGAAAAATACGTGAAAAATCCGTAAAAATTTGGGAAAAAATCTGGGAAAAATCCGTGAAAAATCCGTGAAAAATCCGTGAAAAATCCATAAAAATCCGTAAAAAATCCGTGAAAAATCCATTAAAAATCCATAAAAATTTGGGAAAAAATCTGTAAAAAAGCCGTGAAAAATCCATAAAAAATCCATAAAAATTTGGGAAAAAATCCATAAAAAATCAGTTAAAAATCCATAAAAAATCCGTAAAAAATCCCTAAAAAATCCATGAAAAATTCATAAAAAATCCATAAAAAATCCGTGAAAAATCCATAAAAAATCCATAAAAAATCCATAAAAAATCTGTGAAAAATTCATAAAAAATCTGTGAAAAATCCATAAAAAATCTGTGAAAAATCCACAAAAAATCCGTAAAAAATCCATAAAAAATCTGTGAAAAATTCATAAAAAATCTGTGAAAAATCCATAAAAAATCTGTGAAAAATCCACAAAAAATCCGTAAAAAATCCATAAAAAATCTGTGAAAAATCCATAAAAATCTGTAAAAAATCCATAAAAAATCTGTAAAAAATCCGTAAAAAATCCATAAAAATTTGGGAAAACTCTGAAAAAAATCTGTAAAAAATCTGTAAAAAATCCGTTAAAAATCTGTTAAAAATCCGTAAAAAATCCGTAAAAATTCCTAAAAAATCCACAAAAAATCCATAAAAATTCCATTAAAAATCCTAAAAAACCCATGAAAATTCCATTAAAAATTCCTAAAAAAATCCACAAAAAATCCACAAAAAATCCATAAAAATTCCTAAAAAATCCACAAAAAATCCATAAAAACTCCATTAAAAAAATCCATAAAAACTCCTAAAAAAAATCCATAAAAACCCCCAAAAAATCTATAAAAAAACCATAAAAATTCCAGAAAATTCCCTGGAATTCGGTTTTTCCCTAGGGAGAAGAGCGTCCTGCTCTCATCCAACCGGAAGCTGGAGAGGAAGATGAAGGAATTGTCGCTGCAGTTGGACGAGGAACGGCGCAGCAGCGACAGCCAGAGGGATCAGGTGGGGCCGGAATTCCGGGAAAATCACGGATTGGGAAAGGTTGATCCCGGAAATTCTGGTCAGGGTGGGATTGGGAATTCCAGGATGGGTTGGGAAAGGGAAAAAAATTCCTTAAAAATCCCCAAAAATATTCATTTAAATTAGTTTTTAATTAGTTTAATATTCGTTTAAAATTCGTTTAAAATTCCTTTAAAATTCCTTTAAAATTCACTTTCAAATTCCCTTAAAAATTCCATAAAATTCCTTTTAAAATTCCCTTTAAAATCTCTTAAAAATCCCTTTAAAAATCCCTTAAAAAATCCCCTTAAAATTCCATAAAATCCCTTTAAAATTCCTTTAAAAATCTCTTTAAAAATCCCTTAAAAATTCCATAAAATCCCTTTAAAATTCCCTAAAAAAATCCATAGAATCCCTTTAAAATTCCCTTTAAAATCTCTTAAAAATCCCTTTAAAAATCCATAAAAATCCCTTAAAAGCCCCATAAAATTTCCTTTAAAATCTCTTTAAAAATCCCTTTAAAAATCCCTTAAAAATTCCATAAAATTTCCTTTAAAATCCCTTCAAAACTCCTTTAAAAATCCTTTTAAAAATCCCTTAAAAATTCCATAAAATCCCTTTAAAATTCCTTTTAAAATCTCTTAAAAATCCCTTTTAAAATCTCTTAAAAATCCCTTTAAAAATCATAAAAATTCCTTAAAAATCCCATAAAATTCCTTAAAAATCCCTTAAAAACCCCTTTAAAAATCGCTTTAAAATTTCATAAAATCCCTTTAAACCTTAAAAATCCCATAAAATTCCTTAAAAATCCCTTAAAAACCCCTTTAAAAATCGCTTTAAAATTTCATAAAATCCCTTTAAAATTCCCTTTAAAATCTCTTAAAAATCCCTTTAAAAATCCCTTTAAAAATCCCTTAAAAATTCCATAAAATTTCCTTTAAAATCTCTTTAGAAATCCCTTAAAAAATCCCTTTAAAAATCCTTTAAAAATTCCATAAAATTTCCTTTAAAATCCCTTAAAAACCCCTTTAAAAATCCCTTAAAAATTCCATAAAATCCCTCTAAAATTCCCTTTAAAATCCCTTTAAAAATCCCTTTAAAAATCCATAAAAATCCCTTAAAAATCCCATAAAATTCCCTTTAAAATCCCTTAAAAATCCCTTATCCCGAAAAATCCCTAAAAATCCCTTAAAAATCCCATAAAATTCCATTTAAAATCCCTTAAAAAATCCCTTAAAAAATCCCCTCCCATTCCCACCCACCTGGGATCCTCCCGAGCCCTTCAGAATTAGTTTTAACATTCCCTTTAAAATCCCTTAAAAATCCCATAAAATTCCCTTTAAAATCCCTTAAAAACTCCATAAAAATTCCATAAAATTTCCTTTAAAATCCCTTAAAAACCCCTTTAAAATTCCCTTAAAAATCCCATAAAATCCCTTTAAAATTCTCTTTAAAATCTCTTAAAAATCCCTTTAAAAATCCATAAAAATCCCTTTAAAAATCCCTTAAAAAAATCCCTTAAAAATTCCATAAAATCCCTCTAAAATTCCCTTTAAAATCCCTTTAAAAATCCCTTAAAAAATCCCTTTAAAAATCCCTTAAAAATCCCATAAAATTTCCTTTAA